CATGGAATGCAATTTGCTAAAATTGGGTTAAGAATTTCTGCATCTGGGGCACCTGGGTGGCTCAGTCGTTAAGTGTCTGCCTTCGACTCAGGTCATGATCCCAGGGTCCTGGGATCGAGCCCCGCATCGGGCTCCCTGCTCCGCGGGAAGCCTGTTTCCCCTCTCCCACTCCCCCTGCTTGTGTTCCCTCTCTCGCTGTGTCTCTGTCAAATAAATATAATCTTAAAAAAAAAATTTCTACATCTATGTATGAAGGACATATGTCCAAGTTTTATTTCCTAGTAATGCCTTTTTTTGGTTTTGGTATCAGGACAATGTTTGCTTTACAGAATGGTATTACTTCTTTCTTAAATGTTAAATAAAAATCACCAATGAAGCCTTCTGTGCCTGGAGTTTTCTTTGTGGAAAGGTTTCCAAGTATAATTTATTTAACAGAGTTAAGGCGATTCTGATGGTCTTTTTCTTCTTGAGTGAGCTTTGGTAGTTTGTGCACTTTCAAGGAATTTGTCCATTATCTAAGTTGTTGAATTTATTGCTGAATTTAATGCAAAGTATGCAAAGAACAAAAAAAATCATAGGTAACAAAGATAACTACAGAAATCAGTTAAATGGAAACAAATATAGAGGAAAAACGAATGAAACCAAAATCTGCTCCTTTGAGAAGATCAATAAAATCAATAAACCTCTGACAGAGTGAACCAGAAAAAAAGTGAGAAGACACAGATTATCAAAATCAGGAATGAAAGAGGATATATTCACTACAGATCCTAGAGGCAGTAAAAGGATAATAAAAGAATATTATGAACATTTTATGCCAATAAGTTCCGCAATGCATAAAAAGAACAATACCATCATGACCAAGTGGCATTTATCTTGAGAATGCAAGACTTGTTCAATATTTAAAAATCAATCAATGCAATTAAGCATATCAATAGACTAAAGAAGAAAAAGTATATGACTATCTCAACAGATACAGAAAAAGTATTTGATAAAAGGCAACATTCATTCATGATAAAAACTCTCAACAAACTAGAAAAAGGAAATTTCCTTCACTTAATAAAGGATATCTACAAAAATCTTTTTTTTTTTTTAAGATTTTATTTATTTATTTGAGAGAGAGAGAGAATGAGAGACAGAGAGCATGAGAAGGAGGAAGGTCAGAGGGAGAAGCAGACTCCCTGCTGAGCAGGGAGCCCGATGCGGGACTCGATCCCGGGACTCCAGGATCATGACCTGAGCCAAAGGCAGTCGCTTAACCAACTGAGCCACCCAGGCGTCCCTATCTACAAAAATCTTAACAGTTAACATCTTAATGGTGAAAGGAGTGCCTTTCAAGGGTGGCTTAGTTGGTTAAGAGTCCAACTCTTGATATCTGCTCAGGTCATGATCTCAGAGTTGTGGGATAGAGCCCCGTGTCAGGCTCAGCAGTCGGCATGGAGTCTGCTTGAGATCTTCTCTCTCCCTCTGCCTCTGCCCCTCTCCCTACTTGCACATGCATGCGTGCTCTCTCTCTCTCAATAAATAAAATCTTTTAAAAAAAAATCTTAAGGATGAAAGACTGAATGCTTTGCCCCTAAGACTGGGAACAAGGAAAGGATGCAATATATTTTCAATTAAAATCCCAGAAGGATTTCTGGAGAAACTGACAAGCTGATTCCAAAATTTAAATGAATGAGCAAAAGAATTAGACTACTCAAAATAATTTTGAAAAAGCAGAAAGCTGGAGAACTCACACTACCTGATTTCAATATTTACTATAAAGCTACAGCACAGTGTGGCACTGGCAAAATGACAGATACAGAACAATGGAAGAGAATAAGCAATTCAGAAATAGACCCATACATATTGCCAATTAATGTTATGGGTTGAATTGTGTTCCTAAAAGAAGGTATGTTGATGTCCTAACCCCCAATACTTCAGAGTGTGCCTATTTAGAAATTGGGTCTTTGTAATTTAACCAACTTAAGATGACATTAAGGTGAGCCCTAGTTCAAGGACTACTGTCCTTGTAAAAAAGGGGAAATGTGGACATAGACATACACAGAGGGAAGACAATGAGAAGAGATACAGGGAGAACACCAATGTGAAGCAGAGACAGGAACTACGCTGTAACAAGCCAAGGAAGCTGGAAGAGGCAAAGAAAGATCCTTCCTCTACAGGTTTCAGAGTGAGCAAGGCCCTGATGACACCCTGATTTCAGACTTCTGGCCTCTAAAACTGTGAGATAATATTATTGTCATTCTGAATCACCCGGATTGTGATACTCTTATTATGGCAGCCCTAGAAATGATTACAATTAATTTTCAGCAAAAATATAAAGATAATACAATGGAGGAGGGCGCCTGGGTGGCTCAGATGGTTAAGCGTCTGCCTTCGGCTCAGGTCATGATCCCAGGGTCCTGGGATCAAGTCCCGCATCGGGCTCCCTGCTCCTTGGGAGCCTGCTTCTCCCTCTGCCTCTCTCTCTCGCTCTGTCTCTCATGAATAAATAAATAAAATCTTTAAAAAAAAAAAAAAGGTAATACAATGGAGGAGGGATAGTCTTTTCAACAAATGGTCCTAGAAAAATTGGATAGCCATTTGCAAAAAAAAATTACCCTTAATCCATACCTCACACCACATACAAAAAAATTAACTCAAAATGGATCACAGGCCTAAATGTAAAACCTAACAATAAAACTTCTACTTTTTTTAAAAAGATTTATTTATTTATTTATTTTAGAGACAGAGAGACAGAGAGAGCACAGGGTGGAGGAGCAGACAGGGTCTCAAGCCGACTGCACTGAGCATAGAGCCCAGTGCGGGGCTTGATCTCACCACCACGAGATCATGACCTGAGCTGAAACCAAGAGTCAGATGCTCAACCAACTGTGCCACCCAGTTACCCCTATTTGTTTTTTAAGTAAGCTCTAAGCCCAATGTAGGGCTCAAACTCATGACCCTGAGATGAGGAGTTGCATACTCTATCGACTGAGCCAGCCAGATGCCCTGAACACTAAAACTTCTAGAAGAAAACATAGGAAAAAATGTTTGTGACCTTTGTTAGGCAAAGATTACTTAGATTTTAAACTAAGAGCATGATATATAAATGAAGAAAAAGATAAATTGGACTTTATCAAATCAAAGCCACGGATGGTAAATATTTTCAAATCACATATTTGATAAAGGACTTGTATCCAGAATATTAGGAATTCTCAAAACTAAGTAAGCAAAAACATGGGCGCCTGGGTGGCTCAGTTGGTTAAGCGATTGCCTTCAGCTCAGGTCATGATCCTGGAGTCCCTGGATCGAGTCCCGCATGGGGCTTCCTGCTCGGCGGGGAGTCTGCTTCTCCCTCTGACCCTCCCCTCTCTCATGTGCTCTCTCTCATTCTCTCTCTCTCAAAAAAAAAAAAAAAAATCTTTAAAAAAAAAAAATAAGTAAGCAAAAACAAACAAAAAAAACAATTTAAAAAGGGAGGGGCAAAGATTCAAACAAACATTTTCAGGGGTGCTTGGCTGGCTCTGTAGGAACAGCATGAGACTCTTGATCTCCAGGTTGTGAGTTTGAGCCCCACAATGGGTGTAGAGATCATTTAAATGAATAGATAAAAAGAAACATTTTCAAATTAGATATACAGATGACAAGTGTGCAGAAAAATACTCAACATCATTAGTCACTAGGGAAATGCAAATTAAAACCACAATGAGATATTACCACACACATATTAAATTGTTAAAATAAAAAACCATGGGTGCCTGGGTGGCTCAGTTGGTTAAGCGACTGCCTTCGGCTTAGGTCATGATCCTGGAGTCCCTGGATCGGGTCCCACATCAGGCTCCCTGCTCGGCAGGGAGCCTGCTTCTCCCTCTAACCCTCCCCCCTCTCATGTACTCTCTCTCTCTCTCTCATTCTCGCTCTCTCAAATAAATAAATAAATCTTAAAAAAAAAAAAAACACTACCACAAACAAAACCTAACAATATCAAGTGCTGATGAGGATGCAGAGCAACTAGAACTCTCACACTGCTGGTGGGAATGCAAAATGGTACAGCAATTTTGGAAGAGTTTGGAAGTTTCTTATAAAGCTAAACATAACTTATATAATCCCAAAATCCTACTCCTAGGTATATTTCTTTAAGTGAAATGAAAACTTTAGCTTACCCCAAAAATCTGTGTATAAATGTTTACAGCAGCTTTATCCACAATTGCCAAAATCTGAAAACAACCCAAATGTCCTTTAACTGATAAATAAAGAACTGTGATACATCCATATAATGGATTACTAATCAGTGAAAAAAACAAAAAAAAAACCAAACCCAAAGAAACAAATACTGACACACTCAACAACACAGATGATTTTCAAATGTATTATGCTAAAGAAAAGAAGTCAGATTGAAAAAGATACATACTGCAGGATTCCATCTTTAGGACACCCCGGAAAAAGCAAACTATAGGTACAGAAAACAGACTAGTAGTTTCTACAGGATGGGGGTAGGAGGAAGAGTTAACTACTTAGCTATACAAGGTAATTTTGGGAGCTGAGAGAACTGTTCTATATGTTGATTGTTGGTAATATGTATTTGTCAGAGCTTGCAGAACTGTACACTAAAAGGAGTGAATTTTATCATATGTAAATTATACCTTAATAACATAAAAGAAGAGAAGAAACATTATGCTTAATCAAAGAAACCAGACACAAGAGTATAAAAATTCCAATTGTGGGGACTAAAGAAATATGTATACTATTTATTATCTAACATTAAGTGAAAACATTATAATGCCGCATGCACACCCAGAAATGTGTAAATCCTTCAGTCACGCACTCCCCAAATATTTCTCCAACACATATTATGTGCTAAGGCAGCAATGATTTACAATCTAGAGGGGTAAATCAAACAGAAAACAAACATATGGACAAATGAGAATTCCCAAGTGTGGGAGGTTCTCTGAATAATACAAAAGGCTGATGTGATATAGAATCCAGGGAAGGAATCTCTGAAGTACTATTTGGGTTGATACCTGAAGGGCAGGAAACCAGTCTTGCAAAGATCTGGCAGTGGAGAGTCATGGACAGAAAGAATGACAAATCCAAACGCTCTGCTCTGATGTGGGTAAGACCTTGGAGGAACAGAAAGGAGCAGCACTTGATATGTGAGAGTTCTAGTTGCTCTGCATCCTCATCAGCACTTGATATACACTGCTTCAGTGTAACTGAAACACAATGAACAAGAGGGGCAATGGTAAGAGGAAATGGGAGAGTTAGAAGCACCCAGATCACTAAGGGACTGTAGGTCGCGGTAAAGGATTTAGATTTTAAGGACAATGGGAATCCGCAAGGGCCCCAGATGTGCTGTTGTGTGGCCAATGGCCTGTAGAGAGACAAGCATTGGTGCAGGGAGACAAGTGAGAAAGGGCAAGATCCAGGAAACAGATGATGGTAGTGATGAGAGTGGAGACAGATGAAGAGAAGTGAATGGACTCAGGACAGAAACACAGGAAGAACCAACAAGCCTCGCTACCGGGCGGGATGTGACGAACAAAGAAAGGGAGCAAGCAAAAGTGAGGCCTAGGTTTCTGGTCTGAATCCTGGGATTATGAGGATGCCATTTACTTATACCGAGGAGAGTGGAAAAGAAACAGGTTTGAGAGAAGAAGGGATTACAAGTTGAGGGATAATGTAAATGTTTCTTAGATATCCAACTGGAGACAGTAAGTAGGCAACTGGATATAAAAGTATACATCTCCAGGGAACTATCAGAAATAAAGAGATAAATCTGGGAGTCTTTCATTCATCTATCCAACCAACAAATTTTTTTGAGCAACTACTATGTGCCAGACACTGTTCCATGTGCTAGGGAGTAAACAAGTGCTAGCATGTAAAACAAGACAGACAAAATTCTTGCTTCTCTGAACCTGCAGTTTTCTCATCTGTAAAAGGGGATGACAAATGAGAAAAAGTAAATAAATACTTATCACAATACCTGGCACATAGTATGCGCTTACTAAATGCCAGGTTTTAATATTGGTGACAGAAAACAGACAATAAATAAATAAATGAATAAGGTAATTTCAGAGTAATAATATATGCTATGAAGAAAATAACTCAAACTAATAGGTTTCAGAGTGACACATATAGGGGCAGAAGGGCTACTTTTGAGGGGTGGTCAGAGAAGGCCTGAGGAAATGACATTTCATCTGACACCACAGAGATAAGGAACCAGCTCTGCAGAGACCCAGAAGGGACAGCCCAAGCAGAAGAAATGGCTTGTTCAAGGGTCTTAAAGAACAACAAGAGTTTATTTATTTATTTATTTATTTTTATTTTTTAATTAATTTATTTATTTATTTGACAGAGAGAGAGATAGCGAGAGCAGGAACACAAGCAGGGGGAGTGGGAGAGGGAGAAGCAGGCTTCCTGCCGAGCAAGGAGCCCGATGTGGGACTCGATCCCAGAACCCTGGGATCATGACCTGAGCCGAAGGCAGACGCTTAACGACTGAGCCACCCAGGCGCCCACAACAAGAGTTTATTACACTGGAGAAGTAACAGGCCAGTGTGTCGGAGGCAGAGTGATGAGGGGAACAGAGCAGACAGCACTGGAGAGGCAGGTGGGAACTAGCCTACAGGGGGCCTACTACCCATGGCAAAAATGCTAGATTTTATTTTAATGGGAAGCAACTGGAAAGCTTTGAGCAGGGGTATGACATGGTCTGACTTAGGTTTCAAAGAAATCACATTGGTTGCTTTGTGAAGAATGAACTACAGACGGGTTAAGGATGGAAGCTATTACAGTTATCCAGGTGAGAGACAGTATCTCTGACTAAAGTAGTTGGAAGTGGTGACAAGTAAGTAGATTCTGGATATAATCTGGAGGTGCAGAGGCAGATAACAGAAATAAAGAATAAAGAAAGAAATCAATGATGACTTCTGGGTTTTGTGTAGGTCCTATTAACGAAGATGAGGGAAGACTCAGGGGAGAGCAAGTTTCAGGGTCAGGAATCAAGAGATCTGCTTTGGTCATGCTAAGTCAGGATGTCCATTAGACCTCTAAGTGGAGATGTCAAGTAAACAATTGCATATAGGAATATAAAGTTCACAGAAGTCAGAACTACATCTGGGAATCATTAGGACTAGATGTCATGGCCAAGGAGAGTGCAGAATAGGGAGCCTAGAACCAAATCTTGGAACATTCCAATACTTAGAGGTTAGGCAGGAAAGGGAACAGGAAATAAAATTTGAGGAGTGGCCAGTGTAGTCGAAGGAACACTAGTAGTGTGTAGTGCTGTAGAAATCAAGAGGAGAAGAGAGCATCAGTGCCATGTACCACCTAGAGGTCAAGTGGTATGAGGACAGAGAATGGGTTGCTGGTTCTGCAAGCTGGAGGTTTTTGGTAATCTTGACAAGAGTTTTAAGTTTTAATGGTGAAGGTGAAAGTCCAATTTGAGTGAGTTGTAGAGAGAACAGAAAAGTAGAGTCATCAGCATCAAGATAGTACATGATTTCACCCATTTAAAATACAATACCTACATGTTGAAGGTACTATAAATATGAATATTGCTGGGTTAGGTGGTAGGACTATGGGGCTTATTGGTCTCGATTTTTAATGTTTTCTTTTTTGAAAAAATACAGAGGTATTGCTTAAAAATAATTATATCACCTAAAAACTTGTACCTGAATATTCAAAGCCACATTATTTATAACAACCCAAAGTGGAAATAATCCAAATGTCCATCAATGGATGCATGGATAAACAAAGTGGATATATCCATGTAATGGAATATTACTCAGCCATAAAAAGAAATGAAGTACTGGGGCACCTGGGTGGCTCAGTCGGTTAAGCGGCTGCTTTCGGCTCAGGTCATGATCCCAGGGTCCTGGGACTGAGCCCCACATCGGGCTCCCTGCTCAGTGGAGAGTCTGCTTCTCCCTCTCCCTCTGCCTGCCTCTCTGCCTACTTGTGCTCTCGATCTCTCTGTCAAATAAATAAATAAAATCTTAAAAAAAAAAAAGAAATGAAGTACTGATACAGACTACAACATGAAACTTGAAAACATGCTCAGTGAAAGAATCCAGTCACCAGTCACAAAAGACCATGTACTGTATGTTTCCATTTCTATGAAATGCCCAGTATGGGCAAATCCATAGAGATAGGAAGTAGATTAGTGGTTGCCAGGGGCTGGAGGGAGGGGGAAATGGGGAGTGACTGCTAATGGCTGTGGGTTTTCTTTTGGGGATGATGAAAATATTCTGGAATTAGACAACAGTGATAGTTGCACGTCACAGTGAATATACTAAAAACCTCTGAATTGTTAAGTTTAAAAGGGTGACTTTTAGGGCACCTGGCTGGCTCAGGAGGTGAAGTGACTCTTGGTCTCAGGATTTGAGTTTGAGCCCCATGCTGCATGTAGAAATTACTTAAAAACTAAAATCTTTTGGGGTGCCTGGGTGGCTCAGTCATTAAGCGTCTGCCTTCGGCTCAGGTCATGATCGAGCCCCACATTGGGCTCTCTGCTCGGCAGGAAGCCTGCTTCTCCCTCTCCCACTCCCCCTGCTTGTGTTCCCTCTCTCTGTCAAATAAATAAATAAAATCTTTAAAAAAAAACCCTAAAATCTTTTTTAAGAAGTGATTTTTAGGGGCGCCTGGGTGGCTCAGTTGGTTAAGCGACTGCCTTCGGCTCAGGTCATGATCCTGGAGTCCCGGGATCGAGTCCCGCATTGGGCTCCCTGCTGAGTGGTGAGTCTGCTTCTCCCTCTGACCCTCCCCGCCATGTGCTCTCTCTCATTCTCGCTCTCTCAAATAAATAAAATCTTTTTTTTTTTTTTATATTTTTTTAAAGATTTTTATTTATTTATTCATGAGAGACAGAGAGAGAGAGGCAGAGGGAGAAGCAGGCTCCCAAGAAGCAGAGAGCCCGATGCGGGACTCGATCCCAGGACCCTGGGATCATGACCTGAGCCGAAGGCAGACGCTTAACCATCTGAGCCACCCAGGCGCCCTCAAATAAATAAAATCTTAAAAAAAAAAAAACTATTAAAAAAAATGATTATTATGGTGCATGAATTATATCTTAATTTTAAAAATTACCGTTTCGTATAGTGGAACCCTGAGTACTAAGGAAGTGTCCTCCATGAGCTCTGAGGTCCACAAATGGAGCCTTGAACTTAGAGCAGCTATGCAGCTTCTCTAAATCTTGCCTTCCTTTTCCTCCAACAGAAATACTACTTATTACCTCAAATTACCCATCTATGCAGGGATTTAATGTTTACACAAAACCATAAAAAGCAAAAGTGAAAAAAAGGTGCAAACTATTAGAAATAGCTTATCTATAACTGTGAAAAGGATCCCTTTCTCTCTCATTTGTAACTAACACTTTACTAACACTGCTCAGCATGAATTTGACATCTTAGCATCTTAGCAACCTGCGAAGTTAGGAACTCCCTAAGTTGCTAAAAGGTAAAAATCTGTCATCTTTCAAGTTACTGTAGCAAGTTTCCCCCCAATAATCTAAGTAATCACTGGAAAAACAACTGACAATATTTTAAAAATCAGATTTCCAAGGCACCAGGTTTTTGTTGTTGTTTTGTTGTTTTGAAGGCTAAACCAAATCCCCAGGTGTCTGACTTCACTTGGGGCCGCCTAGCTTTCTATTACATTCAAGTGCAACACTTTCCAAAGGCAAAGCCACTGAAAGCAGTTTAAAGGAAAAAAGATGCTTATAAACCAGGGGACTAGAAAAGTACAGCAATTTGCAGGATAGGCTGTAAAGGAAAAATGCTATTTCCACATCCAAAACTTTTATAGAGATATTTCCCTGTCGCCTGAATTTTCTCCACAGTTCAGGAACCACAACCTGAGCTGGGGTCAGGTGGGACACTGGCTATTAGAGCCAAAGGCTCAGGAACGCTTCTTTCCAACGCCTCTGGGCATTTTGCACAAGATCATTCTTTTCTACTGAGAACACAGTAAGGTGCAAACACAAATGATAAACTGTAGCAGGATAAATTTGAGCTTCAGGTCAGAGGAAAATCTCTGGGGTATAAACACAGTCACTGGGTTTCTCATGGGAAGGGAAGTTCTGCACTCTGAGTTTTGTACGTATGCAACATTAATGGAAATCAAAATTTAAAAAAATTCTGCCACAAGTCTGCCACTTCAATAAATAATTTTCTTCCCTTCTATGTTCTCTTTTGGTTTTTCCCTATATATGCCC